CTCATGTGTAGTTATTTGTAATTTTAAACATGTGCAATTTGTTAATTTAGAACTGCCATTTTAGATATTTGTAGTTCATGCTTTTAGCTGTGTTGTTTTTATGCAGACTGTTAGCCACCCTGAACTCTTATGAGGAGGGAGTATCAATGTGGCATAATGGTTGAGTGTTGGACTATGACTGGAGATCAGAGTTCGATTCCCAGCTCAGCCATGGAAACCTACTGGGTGACCTTGGGCAAGTCACACTCTCTCACCCTCAGGGGAAGGCTATGGCAAAAATTCCTCTGAACAAATCTTACCAAGAAAACCCCCTGATAGGTTTGATTTAGGGTAGCCATATGTCAGAAATGATTTGAAGGCACACAGCAACAGCCATAATTATTTATAGACAATCCTATTCTAAATGCTGGAGGGATAGGATAAACTGGGCTAGTACCCTTGTCCACTTGGCAAAGCAATTGTTAATCAGAAGAGAAAGAAGCCATTTTGGTTGTGCAAATAAAGGCATTACTATTTTGTGGATTTTGGATGTTATTGGACTCAGCCATATAAACTATTACACCTGTGACTGTGCAGCTCTGGAAGGCATCACATACACATACATATCATCTCTGCAGCTGCCAAGACTGGGATTCTGCACAGCATCCTTCTCTCTTCTGCTCCCTGGCGTCCAGATGTCAGCAATGCATTGGATTCGAGGGCCAGAGGAGAGGAACCCTTGAATGTCACACACATTTCACAAGAGATGCCTAAGCTAAAAGGAGAAAGGAGAGGAAGACTCACAAAACATCATCCATAACCTGAGGAGCACGCAAACTGGATTTTTTCCTCATATCATTGATTACTGGGGGTATTCATGATCCAGGCAGTTTCATATCCATTTGCCTTGTTTTCTCTTAGCCTCACAAGGGTCTTGTGAAGATCTAAGGGTAGCCGTGTTGGCCAGATAGCAAACCCAATAACATCAAAAATTCACCAAACAGTGATACTTTTATTGGGCCAACCAAAATGCACAATATACATACATGTTGCAAACTTTCAAAACTCCATTGGCTTCAAAAGCTTCAACATGAATATTGTGCATTTTGGTTGTCCCAACAAAGGGACAATCCACTGTTTGGTGGATTTCTGATGTTAAAAGGTCTTGTGAGTTTCCACTCATGCTGCAGACTGACCTGAATAACTGTCAGCTTTTATATTTTCAAAGGGAGAGCAGCTGCTGTGATTCCTTTACTCCAGAATCCCAGCAAAGATTTTTGGGGCTGGTGTAGTCTCACCTACAGAAAATGTTCAGGGGTAGCTGTGTTGGCCATTTAGCCAAACTATGGCTATTTTAGCAAATTCAAACAAAAATCAGTGATACCTTCATTAGCCAACCAAAATGCACAATATTGTAAGCTTTTTGAAGCTCCATGGGCTTCTTCTTCATCAGGCAAGATGTTACAAACCAAACAGGAGAAAAACAATTGGAGATGTTAGTCAGATGCCTGCATTTGTTTCAGTCTTTAGTTACGATGGTATCTGGTGGGGAGGATGTCTTTTGCAAGCAGGATCTTCCTCCTCCTTCTGGCCCTGTGGCTGTAGGGAGACTGGCAAAGTCCAGGAAATTTAAAATCCATTTGCATCTCAACAGGGACTCCTCTTTTGCAATCCAATATGTTTCCTTTCCAGTGAGGCCACAGGCCTCTTTGTGGCAGAGAACTATGGATTCCTCAAGAAGCCTCCATGTTTTTGCATCAGGAACATTTTGGTCACCAGAAAGAGGAGGAGCCTGACTGCAAAAGACATCCTCCCCAACATATACCATCATAACTGAAGACTGAAACAACATGTAGGCATCTGACTAACATCTCCAATTGTTTTTCTCCTGTTTGGTTTGTAACATCTTGCCTGAAGAAGAAGAAGCCCATGGAGCTTCGAAAGCTTGCAACAAGTATATTGTGCATTTTGGTTGGCCAATAGAGGTATCATTGATGGATTTTTGTTTCAGTAGTCTCACCTAAAGACAATTGTGAATGTTTGTTCAGGAACACATTTCGCCCCACTGAATGGTACTTACTGCACACTGTGCCTTCTCAAGAGTGCAGCAGTACATAAGACATTCACAGTTCCATCTCAAGGCAGAACAAGGCTGGCTTCAGGTTTGAGGGAGCCCTCTGGTGGACCCCTTTTATTTAGCTTGTTCATAAGACACAGGTTTCCCTGGTAGGAGCAACAATCCCATTGAGCTAGCATGGTGTAGTGGTTTAAGCATTGGACTACAAATCTGGAGGCCAGGGTTCAAATCCCCACCTGGCCATGGAAACTCACTGGTTGACCTTGGATAAGTCACATTCTCTCAGACAAAAGCAAATGTCATCTAAACAAATCATGCCAAGAATACCCAGTGATCGGTTCACCTTAAGGTTGCCATAATTCAGAAA